AATATATATATATATATATATATATATATTATATGTATATATATACGTGTATATATATGTAAATGTATATGTAAATGTATATATATATATGTTTTCTGTTGCCTTTTTCTTTTTTTACATAAAGGAGAAAAAATAAATTATTTTTATGTATTTGTTTGTTTGTTTGTTTGTTTGTTTATCTTTGCTATTATTCGTTTGTTCTATTTTGCTTTGTCTCTCTCCGTTGTTTTCATCATCATCGCACAAAACCTAAACCCTAATACCAACACCCTAAACCCTAAACCCTAATATCAACACCCTAAACCTTAAACCCTAATATCAATACCCTAAACCCTAAACCCTAAACCCTAGCACCACCACCCCAAACCCTAAACCCTAAGCCCTAAACTCTAAACACTTCGCCACAAGCCCTACACCGTAAACTCAAATCCCTAAGCCATGACCACTTGGCCCTAAACCCTAAACCCTAAACCCTAAACCCTAAACCCTAAACCCTAAACCCTAAACCCTAAACGTTGATTGTGTGTGTTCAGAGTTGGCATTACCCGACGGAATAACCCCTGTGTTTCCGTGCTTTGGCGGGAGCGAAGGATTGTGTTTCAAAGCATTTTCTTCTTTTATTGAAATTGCATGCGACGAAAAGCTACAAAGGTTTAGCTTCGCTCTTTATGATAGATTTTCTCACCGCATGCAACTAATGCTCGAAGAAGGATGCAAAAATGCTAATAAACAAATACCCCCCATGGACTTCGTTGGAGCCGTCTAAACAATAAACCCTAAACCCTAAACCCTAAACCCTAAAACCTGATACTTCTTCGTGCCGAAATTGAATAATTGCAAACATGTTTAGTCAGGTACAGTCGAAGAAGAAAATATATATAATATATATATGCATCTATATATGCATATATATATGCATATATGTATATTATGTTTATATATATATATATATATATATTATATACGCATATATACAGAGGATTATTTAAAAAAAAAAACTATCGAGAGAGGGAGGGAGGGAATTGAGTGCATGCAGAGAAAATGCATGCGTCTATTTAATTTATATTAAATTACATAAATATATATATATAAACATATATATATATATATATATAAACATATATATATATGTATTATAAATATAAATATAAATATATAATATTAATATAATATACACAGCAACGTTTGCTGCTTTGTTTGGTTTATCTTCTCCTCAATTAGAGGGAGGCAATTCTCTTTGCTTTTCTTTTGCTGTACTCCTAAGACATACAAAATATAATATATTTATTATTTATCTAACAAGCAAACAAACAAACAAACAAACAAACAAACAAACAAACAAACAAAAGAAAAAAGAATTAACAAACTCGGCTCAAACATCGCGAAAAACAAAACGCACCGATAGTTTAAAAATTAAAATAATAATTTGCATAATATGTAATCTGTATACTATATACATAGTATAAAATATACATGTATATTTATATATATAATATATATAAATATGTATAATATATATTATATAATACATGTAAGATATAACTTATAAAGATTATGCTGATAGAGACAGAGAGACGTATACATTAAATATATATATATATATATATATACATATATAT